CTTTCTGACACAGTTCTATCATTTGGTATCTTTCCTTCTGGCCGCCTTCCCCATCATCAGTGGAGTCACATACGTGTGTACTTAACTAATGTGTTGCATATGTGCTCAGTGGCTAAGCTGTGTCCGACCGTTGTGACCCCATGGACTGTAGCCCTCCAGGCTCCTCTGTCCATGGGATTCTCAAGGCAAGAAAATTGGAGTGGGCTGCCATTTCCTCCTCCGGGAGATCTTCCCAACCCAGGATCAAACCTGAGTCTCCTGCATTGGCAGGCAGATTCTTTACCACTGAGCCACCTGGGAAGCCTAACTAATGTGCTGAGGGTGCATACAAAAGGGAGATTTTAATAGAATAGGCCCTGGAGTATGCGACAGGCACTCAGCTTTCAACATTGTTGGCAACGGAGTTCCCTGGTTGCCTAGTGGTTAGGATTCCCGTCTTCCACTGCTGTGGCCCGGTTGTCAGGGAAATGAGATCCCAAATTTGGCATGGAATGGCAAAAACCCCAAAACACCTGTCGGCAAAACCTAAACAAGACTGTGTGGGTGCAGACTGGAAGAGAGAAACGCAGGTGGTCAGGCGAATGGGTTGAAATGGTTCCCAGTACTCAGGTCAGAAAGAAACCAGAGAATTAACCAAGGACGACAATACTCACTCAGGAATTAAGGACCTAGTGGTCCAGTGGCTAACACCCCGAGCTCCCAATGCAGCAGGCCCAGGTTCAATCCCTGGTCAGGGAACTAGATCCCACATGCTGCTAATAAGAGTTCGCATGTCACAACTAAAGAGATTCTGCATGCTGTGACTAAGACCTGGGGCAGTCAAATAAATAAATAAATAAATAAATATTAAAAAATAATAAGAGTTAAGGAGTTGATAAAATCACCTATGGAAGACAGAAGATGATTGAAACAAGGACCTACAAATTGGAATTGCCTCTTAAACAGAGGCATCCTGAAGTGACTTCACTTTTTTGAATGAGAGGTGGGGACGTCAATCACAAACAGCACAAATTCATTCCTACTGAATATAAGATAAGGTTGCACACGTATAACGTATGCCTAGCCTTCCAAGTAATTCCAAGGGCAAATGGATTCCATTGTTTTGTCTTTAATGCCTTAACTTTATCATCTAACCACTGCACAAAATGCTCCTCCACTATGTATGAAAACAAAATCCAGACCAACGATATGATGAAAAACGTAAAAAAAATTATGGTAGTTGAACCCGCTGGAGAATCTGTTTCCTGCCCCCCAAAAAACACAAACAAGACTACCCTGGTGGCACAGTAGATAAGAATCCACCTGCAGTGCAGGAGACATGGGTTCCATCCCTGGTCCAGGATGATGCCAACATGTCTCAGAGTAACTAGCTCCCTGCGCCACAACTACTGAGCCCATGTGCCACAGCAACTGAAGTTTGCTCATCCTAGAGCCTATGCTCCACAACAAGAGAAGCCTCCTGCAATGAGACACCCAAGTACCACAACGAAGAGCAGCCCCTGCTCACCACAACTAGAGAAAGGCCAAGTGCAGCAATGAAGACCCATCGTAGCCAAACACACACACACAAAACCCCCCAATCAATCAAAAAACAACAAAACAACCCCAACCTAACAACTTATCTAGCAGGCCTTTTTCTGTTTATCACTTTCCTTTCGTTCATAATATAGATGAACCTTGGCCTGACTACAGTGTGTTACATGTGGGTCAGAAAATCTGGCTCTAAGACTTGTTCAGGCAGTATCTCATGAATCTCTCAACTGAACTGGGGGAAAACACACCCAATGTATTGAATTATAGACCCAGGCCTTGGATGCATCTATTTCCAGATGCTGCTGAGGAGGAAAGACAGAGAGAGTAAAAGGGGTTCAAGAGCCCTTGAGAAATGGCTCAGACTGGGGACTGGGTGTTCAGACCTTCAGCTGTCAGGTAATAAGGCTGACTGAGACTTTCTCCAGAATCTAAGAGACTTCTAAAGCCAGGCCTACTCCATCTGTTTGGGAGGCAGGAGAGAAATCCTCTCTGCTCTGTGGGAAGAGGCAGAAAGCAAGCTGACAGGTCAGAGTGAAGCACAGCCCTACAGGTACAACCAGAGAGTCTAGACTTCCAGTCCGTAGTTGGCTTTCCAACTGGAATTCCTCTGAGCAAAAGCTTTACTGGCCAGGTATAATTAATAATAGGACCCCGTTGCCCTCTTCTGTCCAGTTTATGTCCCACTTCTAAAATAGTGGATGCATTCTTTTCCAGTTTATAGCAAAGATAAAGAACCGCGGACTCAGAACTCAGAGACAAGACCTAGTGTTAATTCTACACACCAGCTGTGTGACCTTGGAAAAGTCATTTTGTTTCCATTAAAAAATAATGACCTCGGGGACAGAAAGAACTGTCTTTAGGGATTTCCCTGGTAGTCCAGTGGTTAAGAATCCACCTGCCAAAACAGGGGACATGGGTTTGATCCCTGGTCCGGGAAGATCTTACATGCTGTGGAGCAACTACTCCTGAGCACTACAACTACTGAAGCCTGCTCACCTAGAGCCTGTGCCCCTCAACAAGAGAAGCCACCGCAGCAAGAAGTCCAATGCACCACAACGAAGAGCAGTCACTGCTCACCCCAACTGGAGAAAGCCTGCAAAGCACCGAAGATCCAGCTCAGCCAATAATAATCTTAAATAAAATATAACACAAATAAAAAACAATGACCAGCAGGTTGACTTTAGACTCTCCTGATTCTATAAACAGATTGGTAAAGTAACAGGGCAGGAGCTTTGCAGGAATGAAAGTACTAGATAATGACCATGCAACCATTTTTAAATGCCAGGAGCACAAACAGGCTGATTGAAACCTGATCTCCTGCCATCTGGGAACTATGAATCCCTTCAACTATTAGCTCCTTACATCTCCTGGCTTTAAAATTAAATCTTATTCCACAGGGTCATTCTACACTTTATTTATTTATTTACACCCCGCCTTGTTCCAGAAAGGATTTAACTGGGCATATTCCATAGTTAGTCATAAGTAGAATGACTCCTTGATTTAAACAGGAGAGAAAGCAGGGACTGATCCAGTGGCCCCACCCAAGCACACCGACATGGAAACTCTTCAACCCCATGCTAGTTGGAGAAGCCCATTTGCAGGCAAACCACCCACGGACCACCAAGAGGTGCTAGTTAGAACAGCCTGGCCTTCCAGATCGCTACCTCCTTAAAGGCCATCTCTTCTCTTTTAACCACCAAATGGAGAAGAGATCTAATGGAAGTACTTCCTCCTGAAAGTGGTGCCAAGACTTGCTGAACGACCTTAGATCTTCCGGTTTTTATAGACCTTTACTTGAAAGGTCTTTTACTCTCTGTGGCTCCCGCCTTCTCATCTGTGAGATGAGAGCCATGTCCGCCTTTTGTCACAGGGATGAATAAGCACATCTGTGAAAGCACCTTGGAAAAGATGCACAAAAGGCTGTGACCTCCCAGATTGAAGCCAAACATCACCATGGCTCGGCCTGGCACACCCACCCCGCACCGCTTAAGTCGAGGTCAGGCCATCAAAAGTGTTGCAAGCTTTGCTGCAGTGGGTCAGCAGGAATCCAGCAGGCCAACAGTAGGAACCAGCTAACGTCTGCCTGGCCATGCCACTCCTCAGATCTGAGTGTGTTCATTGAAGCCCACAGTCAGGGAGGAGGAAGGAAGAGGAGCTGGGGAGACCAGATTATCCTCAAACACTGGAGCAGGAAGCCAGGTCATGCCTCTCTTGAGGGAGTAGAGGGTTGGGGCCAGACTAAGGAGGGAAGCCAGGTTCTAGGGTATGTGCTTTGAGGTAGAAAACAAGGTGCGGGGTGGGGGTGGGGGGCGCTAGGGTTAAGTATCAGCAGGTAGGAGATATTATGGGGAGACAAATGGGGCGATAAGGATGTGTGAGGTCTTGCCAGAGAGGGAGGACATTCACAGGTAAAATGGGGGAGGAGGCTGCGGTTTTCAAATGGGACACGGGAGGGGGCTAGAGCTTAAGATGTCCACAGGAAAAGAGTGAGGTGGGAGTGTCTCACCACAGGGGAGAGGGGATTGGTGGGGGAGGCTGGGTGGCTGGAATGGTAGTCTGCCCAAACAGAAATAGAAGATGGGGAGGCTGAGGTCTCTACATAGAAAACAGGTGCTCAGGAGGAACGTCCCAGGCGAAAGAGGGGGATGAAATGGTCTCCACTAAGGGAAAAGAGGAGTAACCATGGGGGTGGGTGGGATGGGGGTAGTCTCCAAGCGGGGGTTGGGGCTGGTGGGCGGGCTTTGGTTCAAGGGAGATCGAGGTTGGGGGAGGGGAAGAAGGGGGTGTGTTTGGCAGGGTTGGCCTCAGGGTTGTCTGCAAAGGGAGGTCGGGGTTAGCTCAGGGGAGTGGGGTCTCCACAAGGGCCCAATCTCACCGTCTGCCAGGGCCTCATTGCACTCAAAGCTGATCTCGAACCGGAAAGGGCTGTGGAAAGGGCTCGGATTCTCCAGCACCGCCACGTTCAATACTGACACTTTAGCCATCGCCTCGTCGGGTCGCGGCTGAGACCAGAGCTGGGGCCGAGCCCGCGGCTGGGTCCTGTTGGGTCAGCGGAGAAGCTTAGCCCAAATCCACTCCCGCCTCCTCTGACCGCGATCTGAAGTGCGTATCTAGTCCGCGCGCCTCCTTCAAATAGCCGGGTCTCACCCTACGGCCAATCACCGTCAACGCTCCAGGAATGCGCGAGCGCTTCCTCAGCCAATCCTGGAGCGCCGGTCGGCGCGCGCCGAGACTCCCGGGACCAATCCGTGGAGCTCCATCTCAGGGATAAGAGAGGGAGGCGGGACCGTCTCTAAGCTTCTTTGGTGTCCGCGGGGAACCAATCCCCAGAGTCTCCGACTTGGATGTCAAGGGCGGGGTGGGCGGGGTCAGAGCGCCTGGCTCTTCTTGGCCAATCCCGAGGGCCCCCGCACCAGCGTGGTCCGCGATTAGCCCCGCCTTTCCGGGAGACCCTTCCAGCTGGGGGCAGCGCAGTCAACCGCCGAATGGTGGCGCACAGCGCTCGCTTAAGCGGGAAGGAAGGGAGGTGCTGGACTTGCAGTGATTGGCAGGCAGAAGTGGGGCGGAGATAAGGCAGGTTTTCTGAGAGATGATTGGCTGAATTGGCTGCGGGGGCGGGAGAAGAGAAGACTCGGCCGGGGATTCGTGGAAGTGGAGCGGAAGTCGACCGCTAAATTTGTTGAGCAGAGTGTGAAGAGAAAGTAGCAGCGTTTGCGGCATCGGCGTCTGTCAGCAGGTGAGCGTTGCCGGAAGTTTCTCTAAGGGGCTCCTGGCCCCGCAGGCCCAGCAGCCTGGGAGTCCGTTGTGAACGTTGTGAACGTTTAACTCACTCTTGAGGGGAGACGGTGCCGCGGTAACGCGGCGCTCTGGGGCCCGGGACTCGGTCGGGCCTGGTTCGAATCAGGTTCTTACTGGAGAGCCTCTGGGGAGGTTTCAGGTGGACGGCGCTGAATGGGATTTCGAATCCGGCCTCTGCCACGCACCACCCGAGGCTTCGTTTCCTTGCTCATTGAACGGGGTCATGAAAATTTACTGGCCTGACTTATGACTACATAATACATCTAGAAACTTCTCTCCACTCCCAGGCGTAGGCGGGACCACCGTCGCCCCCTGTCTGGAAGACTCGAGGGGCCTCCGCACTCCCTCGCTCCGCTTCCACCGACGGCAGCAAACCTAATCTTATACTTTTCTTTAGTAACCACGTTAAAAAATAAATATATATTTTAATATATTAAACTTAATGTAGTATAGCCACAATATCATTTCAACATGTGATCGGTATTAAAATAAACACGAACCTGAGGTATCTTTTATTTTGTTACTTAGTACTAACAGTTTGAAGACCTGTGTGTTTTACACGTTACACCACATCTGTGATCTGGACGCTACATTTTCACCGGAAATAGTTGAGGTTTCATAAAACTTACAGTTGAAATGGAGATTCACATGCCCAAATGTTTCCCAGCGTACGTTAAAATTTCCCATGAACCCAATCTCATGTCGGTGATAAATTGAGATATTAATTGATGAAAGTTAAGCGACGTGGAATGTTCTGTTTCACAGCGGCACTAGCCACATTTCAGGTGCTTGTGATCCCCTGTGGCTTCCGATATTGGATAGCCAATACCAACTTCAGCCAAACTGACCTTCTTTTTGTTAAATAAAATCTGACATGACACCCCCCACCTCTTTTCTGGTTCCTCTTTGTTATTCAAGTCTCTCCTCAGATGTCTTCTGGGAGAATCCAAGAGCCCCCTTCACGGCATTCAAATTCGTAGAACGTAAGCCTGAACGGTACATTTCAAGCCACTAGCATTTCTTATCCATCCTTTGTAGCCTCGTGATGCTCAGAATATTTTCTCTTTTTTTTTTTTGTATCTACATCTCAAATTAAGTAGGATTGAAAGGATTTTTTTCCCCCATTGAAACAATTTGGCTGCAGGAAAATTCCCATTATGATTGGCTCTGGGCTCTTGGCAGTCATTGGGCATCCTTAGGAATTTTTGTGACTTGAGAAGCTCAAATTTTCAAATTATTTCCAAATGTAATTCAGTTGCTTATAAATATGAAATTTGATGAAGTTGTTTTGTTTTCTAGATATTAAACAGTTACTCATTACGACTTTGTAGTTTTCTTTCTGCATCGTGGAAGTTATTTTCCTTTATCCTCAGCCCCAACCTTTTCTTTTTTTTTTTTTTAGCCCCAACCTTTTCATAGCCCCTGAAAAGTTCATCAGTCACAAGCATTATGTCTCTGTCTATAATGCCTTCTCCCTACAGCTGGCTGAATAATCTTCAATTGTAAACCAGATCATGTCATTACTCTGCTTAAAACCTTCAAAGGCTTATCATACTTAGGATGAAACTTAAGATCTTCACTGTGGCTTAGGAGGCCCTGCACAGTGGCCTCAACTGACCTCATCTGCCAGTCTCCCTCTTGTCACCACTCCCAAGCCCTGCTGGCTTTATTTCCTGTCTTTCAACACACCAAACTTCATTCCTGCTGCATGGCTTTGCACTTGCTGTTCCCTCTGCCTGGAATGTGTTTCCTTTAGATAATTGGCTGTCTCATTCTCATCATTTATGGTTCACCTCAGGTGTCTCTCCAGAAGAAGCCTTCTTGGACCACCCTAGTTAAACTAGACTTTCATTAATCACGAAAGCCTACTTATTAGGAGCACTTATCAGAATCTGTAGATACGTTGAATTTTTTTTTTTTTTGCTTTGCTGCATGGATTGTAGGATCTCAGTTCCTTGACTGGGGATTGAACCTGGGCCACAGCAGTGAAAGCCCCAAATCCTAACCACTAGACCACCAGGGAACTCATCATCCCTCAGTAGATTGAAAGCTGGTTGTGGACAGTGATCCCACCTGTCTCATACAGACCTCTCAGTGTATTTCCAGAGCTTAGCATAGGACCTCATATGTGGGAAGTTTCCAGTAGATTGTTTTTAAAAAAGAATAAATCCATATAAAGGGCTTACATGATACCTGGAGTGTGAAAAGTACTTCATAAACAAGAAACATTAGCAGTGCATAGTCACCATTTTTCTTAATATTTCAGGTGTACTCACTCAAAAAAGAAGAAGAAATGCTATAACAAAGTACATTTTTACTCCTTACCCAGCTTAAGAAGTAAAACAGGGATGCAATTGAAAGGCCTTACATATCCCTGCCTCAGACCTGTTCCTCCCCTTTTTTCACATGTAACTATAATCTTGGATTTAGTATTTATTTTTCTGTACATGCTTATACATCTTTAATAGGTGTCTTTAAACTATATATAGTATTGTATGTCACGTTCTACAACTTTATAAAAATGATGCTGCTGCAAAGTCTGGGGAAAACCAGGCACAAGCTTCCACAAGGCCTTTTCCTGGTGAAGTCACAAGTGACTCCCTGAGTTCCTACAGCAGAGTTGTGATAACGTGTGTGAAATGTCTACCAGGAATGCTCAGTACCCAGGGTACTTGGGGCAGGAGGGGGCTGATCAAGTTTCAAACTTCCAGACTCCAGAAGGAAAGCAGTTGTGGACACAAACCACATTGTTTGTACAGTTTAGGCACAATGAGCCACTTGTATCATTTAGGGAGTGGTGGGCACTCTCCATTCACTTCACACTTCAATCGTGTCTGACTCTTTGCAATCCTATGGACTGTAGCCCACCAGGCTCATCTGTCCACAGGATTCCCAAGGCAAGAATATTAGAGTGGGTTGCCATGCCCTCCTCCAAGGGATCTTCCTGGCCCAGAGATCAAACCTGCATCTCCTGCATTGGCAGGCAGAGTTCTTTACTACTAGCACCATCTGGGAAGCCCTACAGAAGTGATCGCTGTACACAAAAGAGTTAACTGTGTCAGGCCTGAGACCTCTGTCCTTAGAAAGGCCTATTTGCAAGGTTGGTCCTTGGTGTATAGGAATTTGGGTTTCAGGAGTGTTCCCACCACTCCCTAAATGATACAGGTGGCTCGTGGTGCCTAAACTGTACGAACAATGTGGTTTGTGTCCAACACCTTCTTTCCTTCTGGAGTCTCGAGGTTTGAAACTTGATCAGCCTACTGCCCCAGGTACCCTGGGTACTGGGCTTTCCTGGTAGACATTTCTCACGTGTTGTCACATCTCTGCTGTAGGAACTCAGGGAGTCCCTTGTGACTTCACCAGGAAAGGACTTGTATGTGGTTTTCTCCAGACTTTGCCGCATGCACCTTTGCTCTTGGCCGATTTTGCTTTGTGTCATCTTACAGTAAGAAATCATCGCCTGGGAAATTCCCTGGCTGTCCAGTCATTAGGACTCCGTGGTTCCGTGGCAGAGGGCATGGTTTCAGTCCCTGGTCAGGGAACAAAGATCCCACATGCTGCATGGTGCAGCCAAAAACAAAAACCCAAACAAAATCATAACCTTGAGTAGGCTAGATGCTAAATTCTATGAATCCTCCTCATGAATCATAGAAGCTAGGGGTTATCTTAGGGACCCCCAATGCAGTGTCATACCAGACTTATCCCATCATGGCTGGAATTAAGGGGAGAAAGAGCAAGGGCACAACATTTAAGGAGACATACCCTCCAAGTCACACAAGTGCCAAACTGTACTTGCATGACTGAAGGCTAGTGCCTCCTAAAATTTTCACTCTAGACACCTAGCTTGCCTCTGGTGCCAGCCTTGCCTTCTGAAGCTTGCTTTTTTTTTGGTCAAGCATAATACTTTTAAGATGTATTTGTGACACATGTATAGCTCCAGTCATTTATTTTCCGTGCTGTATCACTGTGCTGTGTGATATGGTAGCCATTAGCCATGTGTGGCTATTTTTTTTTCCAGTTAATCCAAATTAAATGAAAAATTTAACTCCCTGGTTACTTCGCCACACTTTGTATGTTTAATAGACACCATGGCTTGTGGTTGCCACATTAGACAACTCCAATAAAGAATGCTTGCGTGATCACAGAAGGTTTTGTTAGACAGAATTTACTTATCCATCCACCTCTTGCTTGTTATTTAAGCTGTTTCCACTTTTCTATTTTTTTCTTAAATTTAAAAAATTTACTTATGTTTGGCTGTGCTGGGTCACGTTGCTGTGCTTGCTTTTCTCTAGCTGTGACAAGCAGAGGCTACCCTCTAGTTGCGATGCATGGGCTTCTTACCGCGGTGGCGTCTCTTGTTGCAGAGCACAGGCTCTAGGGTTCACAGGCTTCAGTAGTTTTGGCTCCTGGGCTCTAGAGGACAGGCTCAATATTTGTGGCACATGGACTTAGTTGCTCCTCGTCATGTGGGATCTTCCCGGACCAGGGATCCTAACCCATGTCTCCTACATTGGCAGGTGGATTCTTTACCACAGAGCCACCAGGGAAGCCCAGTTTCCAGTCTTCTACTCTTAGAAACAGCACTGTGGTGTTCATTGTTGTGCATGGCTCTTGGTGTACACATGCAGGAGTTTCCCTCGGATGCATACTTAGGAGATGATTTGCTGAGTCTGGGGACTATTCACCTTGACTAGATATTGCCAGTGTGTTCTTCAAAATGATGGATCCAGTTCTCACCCCTGCCGACAAAGTTGGTGTTGCTGTGTCCTTATCACACTTGCTGTTGTCAGACTTTTACATACTTGTCCTTATGATGGGCGTGAATTACTGGTTTCAGTTTGCATTACCCTGATTAACAAAAGAAATTTTTTCAAATTTGTTGACCATTTGCTTTCCATGAATTGCCTGCTCATATCTTTGTCCATTTTCTTGCTGGGT